GCTTGCTGGCTTGCTGGCTTGCTGGCTTGCTTGCTCGTTCCAAACACAGCGGAGTGGGAAGCGCCTTCTGTGGGAGTCACGGTTCGGACTGCAGGAAGGGAACTTAGAGGTGAGCAAGCAAGCGCTGGAAGAAGCGGTCCGGTGCCCCGAGTTCCACCCGCGCGGCGCTTCGCCGTGCGGTTCGCCGCGCGGGTCGCGCGGGTCGCAACGCGGATGAGCCGCGGCCCGAGTGACCCGTGCGGGGAACGTGCGGTGCATTCATTTTGGGGGGTCCATGCTATGATCCGTGGGGGTTTGATGCGATCCGGATGCGATCCGGATGCTCCCGCGGGCAGCTGGTCCCTGGCCATGGATGAACATGAACCCTTGCGGACCGTCAGCTGCAGGGAGCTGGCACTAGAAGACTGACCGGGCACGAGCGCCTCGCTGGGAACCAAGTCCCAACCAGAAACAGTTCTGGTTGTTCCAATATGGCGCCACCTTGAGATCCTTTACATAGGAAATGGCTGGGACTGGGGAGTTCCATCCATTTCTTTCTGGTTGGGGCTGGGTTTCCATGTCATTCTGTGAGATTCTCACTACATCGACGGAGGAAGGTCCATCCAGCACCTTGGAGTTGTGCAGCACAACGACTTCAATGAAACCTCCATGAAACCTCCAGCTTCTTTTGACATACCAAGCTCACTTCCCTGGACTGCACTTAGTTTTCCATTTCTTTCCATGTCTGTGGTGGTGCCCTCCCAAATCTGCAGGGCGGCGCGGGCGAACGGCGCTGCGCCCTAGGGTTCCCCCGTGCACCCGTCAGGACAAGCTGGCTCATCAGAAGTTCCGGCTCACACGCCTCAAGGACCGTTCGACCGGGGCCGTACGAGGTCTTCAAACCGCGGCCGCGAAGACGCCTGCGGAACGAAACGCGCTTCTGACCCGTTTGGAGCCTTCGGAGGTGGGACTGGGTTGGCTCACTTGGACCTGTTCGTGCGTTGTCCTGCCCCCAAACTGGGCTGCAAAAGAGGTGCACCATTGTATTCGTTGGAGGTGCTCTTCTTTCTTGCAATATGTCCTATTTTCTGACAGAATGTGATCTTCTAAGTGGCACTGTCCTTTTTTTGTAGTGTACAAGCCTTGCAGGGTCCTGTCCTTTTCCGTGCGCAGTGTGCAGTGTGTGCGTGTGGTGTGGTGAGGCCGCTCCAGCGCAAAACGAAAGCCTTAGATGTTGATGTTCCTAAGGCTATTGATGTTGTTGTTGGCCTTAGAAAGCCTTACCCTCCATCCAACAAACATGGAAGTGGAACATGGCCCCTTGCAAGACTGTATTCCACTTCTATGATTGTTTCAGGGAGGGTATTCAGCAACGTCGTCTTGCGTCTGCTGCTGCTGCTGCTGTCGCTGGCGTCCGCCCTGCGGAACGACTGCCGGTGGTTGTTGGGGCTGCACGAAACGAGCCACCGTCCGGCGATCCACAACCTGTGGCCAGATCCGCTTCGACCAGAAAAAGGCCGCGGCCAGACCCAACACTCGAATTTAGAGCCTTTCAAAAAAGGGGTCTCGCCAGATTGGCACTGAATTGGTCCATCCCGAATCAACTCTCAACCTTTGGAACCTCCCAAACCTTTGCAGGAGGGAATCAATCGCTTGTTGTCTGGCGGGCGCCCCACTTCACCCAGGGTGGGCGCATGTGCTAACCCTGTTAGCAATCGTCAACCACCTTCCAGGGCCTTGCAGGGTTCTCCTCCAAAGACAACCTTCACTTTTGTTTTGGGTAGTCCCTTGAACATGAACGGTTAACAAGAGCTTGCCTGGAATCCCGGACAGGGGGAATGTTTGGAAAGTTCTCTTGACTGGGTTTCTGACACTTCAGGAGGTGGCGGAAGCATGGATGGACGTGCCTCGGAGACGATCACAGGGATGTTCAGAATGTCCCAGGTACATTGCAGGATGATTGGCCATCAACAGTAGGGACAACAAGGGGTATGGACTGAAGCTTGCAAAACAATTGCAGAAAAACGTTGTGTTCTTCTTGTGAAAGGGGCCGTTTGTGAGAGACCTTCATCGATTTGTCTGTTCTATTTCGTGAGGAGCAAATTGAAAGTGTGGACAGGTTTCTTCCAACCAAAACATGTTTCTTCCGTAAGGTAAGGGAAAAAGGGCCATGCCATGGATGAAGATCCATGAAGGTGGGAAAGGTTTTGATCTCAAGCACCCCGAATTGAATTGATCTTGTCCTGGCTACGGGCAGGGCGGATGTCATGGTGATCAACCTGTTGAGCATCAATGCCCGGTGCTTTTTTGGGGCACGACAGACGGGAGAAACGACATGCTTAACACCGACCGACTCGGGAAGGCAATCCCGCAGTGTTTGAAACTGGGAAGGCAATCCCGCAAAGAGTGTGATCGATGGTCTATGCTTGTTTGAACACCATGGCCCATAGATCACACTCACTTGTGTGATCCATGGCCCGATCGGTCTATGCTTGTTTGAAGCACCATGGCTCTTCGGTGGATCGGTCGGCCCGGCTCGTCGGCTCGTCCGCTCCCGTCTGCTCGGGGACGCTTGTCGATCGGCTCCGAGGAATGCTGTGACGTTTGCGGCAGTCAGATTTCCTGGCGTGCGGTGGAAGAATTGGAGGAGCCACATGTTGAGCTGACTGGAGGGAAGTGCACATGGAACATGGACACCTATGAGGGCTTTAAGATGCTTTAAGTATTTTTTATCACTGAACATTAAGGAGGCGGTGTGTTCTTTTTCTTCCCTGCTGCAGCTTTTGAAGGGTCCACAACCTCTATATTTTTTGAGGGTGCTGTAGCCTTCGGGTACTTTCAGGCCAGGGCGAACTGTTTATATACAGCGTTTGGAGGGTCCACAACAATTGTTCTGGGAAGGTACTAGAGCCTTCGGGTACTTTCATCAGGTGAAGTCTTCAAAACCGTTCAAAACCAATCTCACACTGTTGAGATGAGTCAGAACTCCTTCTTCCCTTTTTTCATAGCTCCAAACATGGTTCCCTAGTCCGCCCTCAAGTTCGAGGAAGAACATCCCACACCGGGATTTGCAAGAACTTGCCCTCCTGGGAAATACCATGCATCTCAGGCTTTGCCGGGTTTCTTCCTTCAACGATATTGACAAACGGATTGTTTTGACTTTCATTTCTCAGCTGTTTGGGACATGATACCCCCTTTCAGTCTTGGGAAGGTCTTAAGTGGCTTGTTTTCCACTTCACTTGGGATTCGTGCCCCAAACTGCAGTGGTGGCCCAAGAGACTCGACCTCGCCGCTTCGCCGCAGGCGCGTTCCAAAGGTCGTGAGCATCCGCATGTCCCGGGGTCCTGGCATCAGGTGGCAACTCGTGGGGCCCCGGGTTCGGGGGTGGAAGATGTGGAAGCCCCAACAGGGACTGACACGTCCGGCGTGGACACGCTGGGGCAAGGCCCAGGGGCCCAGATGATTGTTTTCTTTGTGAAAAAAAAACTGTGGAAGCAGTTGAAAGGGAGTTCTAGGGCAATCTTATGAAGCTGGGACAGGTCGCAGAGAACTTCATGCGTAGGTTGGTGATCTTAGTCCATTTTCCCAAGAGAGAGTTGTGGGGCTACGGATCCAGCCACATCCAAGTGACAGACAGTTCCGCCAGATTGCGAGTAGATGGCACTCATGGATGGCAGAACCGGAGTTACCAGTGTGACCGCTGGTGGTGGAAGTTTCTGTTGACCTCTGTTGACCTCGCCCCACTGGGTTAGATAATAGTTAGATACGTGAAGGGAAAGGGCAGGCACCTCAAAGCTGCCAAACCTTTCCAGTAGCTGCCCTTGAACACCTTTCCAGCTCCTAACAAGGATCTTGGAGTGTAGCAGTGTTCTTTTTTTCCATCATAAACCATCATAAAACCACTCCATGGCTATAAAAAAGGAGCCCACCCATGGAACAACCGCGGCGCCAGGGTTGGAAGAAGTGCCGCGAAGCCTTGAAGAAAGTCACCGAGGAAGCACAGCAGGCTTCTAACGAACGAAGAAAAACCGGCAGGGGGCAGGGGCAGGAAGACAGGGCTGGGGGGGGTGCCACACCCCCCAAAACCGGGGCCCCGTTCGTAGCGTCCTTGTTACTAGTAGTAAGGCCAGGAGCCCCTAGTAGCGTCTTGTTACTAGTAGTCGTTGAGTGTCGTTGTCTTTTTTCATTCCCCCAATCACCTGGCGGGTCAAAACACCAAGGCACTGGGTCTTCGAGCGGGTCGACCCGGTGGTTGCGGCGGGAGCCGGTGTTCCGTCCCGGTACGGCACCGGTGGACGCACGCATCCACCGGTCTGCGCGGTCTGCGCGGTCTGCGAGGCCAAAGAGGCGCTGGGCGGTGTGGACGTTGGTGAAGTGGTCGACCAAGAGGATCCCCAAGCAGGCGGCCTGTGGCGGCGGCCAGCCGGTCCAGGATCGACTCGCAAAACGGGAGGATTCCATAGCGGGAAAGGACCGTGAGGGTGTCTGGGGCCCTGTTTTCCCATCGGATCGTGCACCAGCGAACTTGATGGGATCAATCCAATAGTGTGTGCTCCATGCTGGGGGAGTGGACGAACTGTGAACTGAGCTGCAGGAGTCTCCTTTGCGAGTTCCGAGCTGAACTCACAGGGGCAGGGACGAGTCGAGAAACTAAAGCCGCATGATGTTGGATATTTGGAATCAGGTTTTGATGGGGCGTGGGGTTTATTTCTCCGCAGGATTCTCTCAGCTGGAGTTCCTGTGGGGTTTGAAGAGCTGAGTGGTTCCCAGCTACACAGGTGAATGACTCTTCCTCTCTGCGCCGGTCACGTCATGTCATCCCGGCGGGACCCTGCTACTCGTAGGCTGATTCACCCGGAGCAGTCTATTCTGTACCAGTTTCGGTGGGACAAACGGCCTGGGCCCCCTGCCACTGACCATCCATCCGCCCAACGCCGACCCGACACGTGCCGTGGCGAGTGGCTTCCGTGCGATCGCCGAAACGCCGACGAAGCCAACAGCCATGAGACGAACACGGCCGGGAACGCAGCCACCGAAACCTGGGCTTGTGGTGGCCACAATCCCTCAAACCTAGTGGTCACCAGTTGGCCTTCAAACCCTTCCGAAGGTGTGACTCCTTCTCGAACCTCGCAGAGATCGTTCGGAGATGTTTTCGGAGTGGGTGCCCAAATACTGACTGGTGCGACGAAAGTAGGGAATGAGGGTGGCTGGATCCAATAGAATCTCTATTGGGTCTCCTTCCCTTATTCCCTACTTTCGTCGCACCAGTCAGTATATCTCATCAACTCGAGTCGCCCAGCCTTCCGTCCCCTGGCGCGTGGTGGGGATGGTCAGGCCGCAATGGCCGCCGAGCTCCCTTCCAGGCCGGCGGGGGGGGCCGACGGAGGCACCGTTTGGGGTTCGCCTGGGCGATGCGGGCCATGCTGGCAATGGCCGCTCTTGTAGCGGCAACTGACGCAAGGGTGCAAGGGGTATTGGGAGTCCGCTGTAAGCTGTAAGCTTCTGTCTTCTTCCTTTGGTCCAGAGGACTGTGATTCAACCAGCAAGCTTGCTTGATCCATTCAATGGGACAAGCAAAAGACGTGGAATCTTACAGAGGACAAATAACAACGCAATACACGAACGGGATGCTCCAGAGCACTGCACCAGCACTCGAGAGCATGTGTACTTACTCTTTGTTTCCGGTTCCTTCCGGTTCCACTTCTGTGTTTCAAGATGCTGCTTATGACGAGTAGGTGACACTGAAAAAGCAAACCAGTCACCTGACACTGACCACCTGACACTGACCGAACCACTAGACTCACAAAACCCATTGGATCAAGCCGCCCTTTTGATCTCCGGTCTCCCTCCCTCAGATTTGATACCACAAACACATACGAAAAACAAGATCAAACAGGGTCTTGGACGTGGGAAGTAAGATCTTCCGCTGGGTTAGGCCTCATTCTCTCACATGAGGTTCGATCGGCGAAGGAGCTGGCGCGGAGCCGCTCACGGGATGCCAGTAAGGTGGGCGTCGGGTATCGACTGGCAGACGGTCGTCGGGTGGAAAAGACAGAGTTCAACAAAACAGCATGAAGTTAGTGTTTTTTTTGTTGCAGCAACAGCAAGTTCTTTTTTGGGTGTAGGGTGGTTGTCGGAGCGGACATCTAGCATTCAGCTGACTGTTGGAGTCTTTCGCGGACATCAGAGACTGAGATACCCGATGTCCGCCGAAGATGCGTTGGGCAAAGATGCAGACTTGGTCCAAGTGCTGCAACTGCCTCCAGATTTCCAGTTGTCTTTTTCTGTGAAAGATGCCAGGGTCATGACATTGGTTCTCTTTGTGAACAATTTGAAGGATTTATGGAAGGATAGTTGAAGACATGACTTTTTCCAGAGAACGCGTGTGAAGGGTTGTCCCACGACGCTTTGATGTTGGCCTTCTCTTTGGCATTTCCTTGTGGCATCCCTATATGGGGGTCGAAGCTGCCCCAATGCAGCTTGACCTGCACAGCGGAGGAATCAGTTCATAAGCCCCGGCCGGAGGTTCAACAGAGCTTGGCCATGCCCAAAAGCTCCAACTCTGTTTTGAAGTGCACCACTAGACGATCGTTGGACTCTTGCCCGCTGACCAGGCACGAAAAAGGAGTCCTTCCAAAGAGAAGGCTCAGAAGGCTCTCAACGGGAAAGGAATCGTTTTTGTTCTACTCACCAGAGGTCCTGAGGTCTTGGTCTTGGTTGATCCCAAAGACGAGTTGCATGGGGTTTGCACCCGAAGAACTCCCGCATCAACTCCCCGGTCAGAGCCGGATCTTTGGGCGGGCGTGTGGCGGAGTGGCCTTGGGAGCCAGCTCCAAGGAGTGGATGTTGCGCAGATCTCATTCTCACCTGTCCATGGACTATAGAGATCCTACTCACCCGTGCTGTACCGGGATGTGGAGTGACTCTGGACCATGGTCAAAATCTGGTAGGACACCTTTTGGTTCCAAGGCTGACCTCGTCACCTATCTTCTGTCATGAGTCATGGCAAGATTTGGATCCCATCTTTGCTGAAAGGGCAAGTGCTGATGGACTGAAGGAAGGGTCGGAGCTAAGGTTCCTGCTTCCACTTCCCACTTGCCAGGAAAAAGGAGACAAAGAGAAGGAGAAGGAGAAGGACAAGGAGAAGGACAAGGAGAAGGACAAGGAGAAGGGAAAAGAGAAAGGAAAGGCCAAGGACAGAGAAAGAGACAAGGAGAAGGGCAAGGAGAAGAGAAAAGATAAAGAAAAGGCGAAAGAAAAGGACAAGGAGAAACACACAACCCGTTTATCATCTCGTGCAAGAGTATTCTTGATGACTTATGTACCCCCATGTCTCCAGGTCGATCACTTGGCATCCCTGACCCAAACTGAAAAAACGGGAGTCCTCCCGTCATGGCGGGGGCGCCGCTTGCGCCTCGAGGAGAGGAAGAAGAAAAGCCGCCGTAGCAGCTCTTCCAGCAGTCGCAGCCGGTGTGGAGCTGAGAGACGTCACCCTCGCTCGTCGACGTTCGCCGGTCGCCGGGCGCCGAGAAGTTCCCCTGAGTTCCGCCGGGGTTCGCCCTGGTTTGGAAAGCGCGCAGCACGGGAGAATGGAAGGGATGTAGCTACACCCAATCTTGCTTGGATTCTTCTGGTCAACGATCGCAATGTGAAGGATTTCTATGGTACAGACTGGCGCAGAAGCTCGTGGACCCTGCAAGTACGGGTTTGGGGTCTGAACTCAAATTCCTCACTTTTTTGAGGCACCAGTGGGGCCTTACGCCGCTCCTTCCGCTCCTTCCACTGCCTTTTCCACTGCTCCTTCCTCGCTATGTAGGTCGAAGCGAAAGAAGAGCGGCAAACGGCGTGCAGACAGGTCCCCTTCCAGGAAGCGCCCTGGCAGAGACGGGAGACCAAAAGCAGCCTGCTTGGTCTCCATGGCCTGGCATGCTTAGCAGGTTGATGGAAAGGAACACCCCTCAGGTGAAGAACCAAGTTCGGAATGTGATAATCCAATTATATGATAACCCAATCGACGCCTCGATTCTCGAAGGAACATGATTGCTTTGGGTCTGGAGTCTGGAGTCTTTTTTGGAATGGCATTTTCTTCCCGGGGTGCTGGTGGGAAGATGCCAGAACTTCTGGCCACTCAGTCAGGAGATGACAGGACGAGAGTGTGTTGGGGACACGAGGCGCAATAGACCGGTCAGGAACCCCTGGGTAACTGAGTTAGTTGACATCCTGAAAGCCACCAGTTTACATCCGTTTTCCATGAATGCAAGCCGGTCCTGTCTCAGCGGCGAGCAGTTTTCGATTGATGAACCAGACAGATGGTGCTTCCCGATACCGGCTTGTTCAAAGCCTGTTAGAGTTGATCAGTTGAGCTGTGATTGATCAGCGAGATCGCCGATGCAGGTAGCTCGGCTCGGCCCAGATGCGAAGCGCAAGACGCTTCGGTTCAGAGGTGATGGATGCTTTTTGTTTGTGATCCCGCTTGTGCCACTTCTTTCCCCCTAAGGAGAAAGAAGAGAAAGAGCAGCAGCAGCAGCTGACGGGATGAGTCAAAGTGCGAGCACAAACCGAGGTCAAAGATGGTGACATAGATGGGCTCACCCCCATTCGTCCCGGTGTCCAAGCCCTTCCACGTTCGTACACAAACTTGGTCAAAAGTTTGAGAGTGCATGAGTTGGTAGAGGGGATTCATTTCTGCCACATGGATCGTTTCCGCTGCACTTTGACAGCACACCTGCTTGCGCTTGCAGTTCCCACAGAACCCGGTCTGCGCCTGGAAAAAGGAGGAAAAAGGGAGGGTGAACTTAACCTGCAGGTGTGCGATGCAATGGTTCTGTTATCTGACCCTCATAAGCCTCTAGAAGGACGTGACGGTCTGGGTTTGTCTCTCTGAACAGTCGATGGGTAGTCTTCGGGCCACGTGTTGAGACTCTCTTTCCCCGTGCACGGTTCTGCCACGAGTGCGTATGCTTTCGGCACGTATTCAGAGTCCAGAAGGTGGCAGGACACAAGAAGCCCGACATGTGTGGGTCATGAGACCAGGGTCAACTTAGGGGCTTGATCAGGATCCGACTCCTGAACGAACCAAGATGTTATGGACACTTAGTCTGCCATCGAAAGATATCTTTGACCACTAGAGCCTGGCAGCCTGGCTGAAACCTTGCTTTCCGGAGCCACAGAGTTCGGTGAATTTGGTTCCCCAATTCCGTGTTGGCAAGCGGACGCCATTGGCAGAGGCTTCTCCTACTTGCACCAAGTAGGCGCGACTCACGTGTTTTCGTTCTCATGAGTACTCCCTGCCTTTCGCCTGGCACGCGGACGGTCCCTTCCCTAAGGCCCGATTGTGGCGAGAAAAACACTTCTTGGCTGGGAGCCATTCTGAATACCCCAACAAAAAAGGTGGTGAGCACTTCCTCCACTTCCTTCTTAACCAAGAAGTCGGATGAGCACTTGCCCGGCCTCCGCAGTTTTTTCTTCCGTGTTCCCGCGGCCGAAAGCGCTTTCCCGCGGCAGCCCGGCCGACACTTTTGGTGTGAACACTGGGTAACCAGTGAGGTTGAACAGATCCGGTCAGATTTGTAGGTCACGTGTAGGTGTTTGATTGGTGTGATTTTTCAGGAAATATATATATATATATATTTGTGTTTTATTTTTTTCATATGTATGTATATGTATATGTATATATATATATACAGATGTTTGCTGCGTACTTGCATGTCACTTTTGCGCGTGCCAAATCTCAACAGGACAAAGATCTCGTCGCTTTACGTAAGGATAAAGGAAGACAAGTGGCCAAGCGAATCCATTAACCAAAAGTCTTTGGAGAGGGGGAACGCTCGTTTCAGCTCATGGGGTCTCTGATGGGGTCTTGTTTCAACCTGAGCATAGTATTTTCGTTTGTTGGAGCTGCTGAGTGAGTGGGGTAACACCAACACTTGCCACATCCAATTCTTGCACTGGAAACAAACACTCTCTAAAAGCAGGGTCCTCGAAACAGCAGTGAAACGGCGGAGCAGTGTCGGTTTATATCTAGAACCCACACATGACCCTCCTTTAAAGAGGAAAAGACCATCATTTTGGGTGGTGGGTGGCAGTCTATTTCGTTTATGTGTCCGATCGCACCCGGCTGGTCTTTGGAGCTTCCGTTGCACTTGGAGCCTGCAAAGGTGGTGCACTCCCCCAAGGAATCCTCCTGGTTTTTTCGGAGAATGAACACCACCGGAACCTGGGTCGGAAACGGAGGGTCGTCCCTCCTCTTTTGGGGCTCGGATGCTTTCGATACTTACCTTCCCATGGATCATCTGCAGGGCTATAGTGGATCAACTGCACCATGTTGTTGGGGGGGGCAGCAGTAGGACACCCCACGGTTGAGATACGATGCCATCCACCACTTCCACCACTTCAGCCGATCACAACCCAAAGATCCCGAGGTTGATCGAAACGAGCGATGGACTTCCCGTGGCCTGGACTGATGAAACGAGAGACGGATGAAACGATGAGACGGATCGTGAAGGGTTGGTTAGAACGAGTGAGGGGAACCCGATCGTTGCACCCGACAACACATTTAGACAACGTTGCATTCGAAGAATGTTGGCCGTTAGCCGGTGACCTTTCTGTTCTGTATAGATGTCCTTTCATGGTTCGAGGTGGACCGGCGGAACATTTGGAGTGTTTTTTCCGTTTGCGGCCTGGACACACTGTTTTTGGGGCGACCACATTTCCAGCTCCTTCAACGCCATTTGGCGGCTTCTGAAACAGAAGTTCTTGAAAGCAAAGTCGCTGCAGGTGGGTCAATCCACCAGGCATCCAAGCAATGGAGCAGACGTTTCTGGCTTCTCACCATGGGCCATCAGGAGATTTATCCTGTATGACTCAGGCTCAACAAGTCGGAGGATTCCAAAGGGTCTCATAGTGTCATACGGCTCGAGTGGCGAGACGTTGCCTCGCTAGTGAGACGTCACACCACGCTCGTGGCGCGGACTAGGTGTAAACAGAAGGACCGACTAACACACACACACACACATAACGGAGTGATGCTACCCCCTCCGCCCGCACTTACGCCAATGTTCGTGTGAAGAAGGACGTCTACCTTTTTGTTAGCCTCGACCCACTAAGCTGTGACCCAAATCCCAGCCAACTGCTGGGGAAGATCTGCTTTTCATCACTTTTCATCATGTGGACTCTGGTTAAAAAGCTTTACAATAGGTGTTCGTTCTTCCATCAGGATTCCAGTGATTGCTCCTCACTGTCCTCCCTGATTTCACCTGGGATCACCTGAACCCACCTTTGGCTTTCTTCGTCTCGCCCCTCTTAGGCCATTTGCCAAGCGTTTCCCGGGAGGTCCAGTGGAGGTGCCGCAGTTCGGGATCGACCTGGGTCCGATCCGACCTGAGTGCAGTGCAGTGCATCTGAGTGCCCACACCTTGAGGGGTTTCTGGATGTGCCAGCCAACCAGGTTTGGGAACCGATCCGTTTGCCCACCATGGTTCAGAGCTTTGGGGGGATGGGAGCCTTGGACGATGAGAAGCTTCGCTGCTCAGGGTTTGGCGTTTCCTGGCGTGCGTGGTTTCTGATCGGAAGAAGTTGGGCTAGAAAGGACCCAGTTAGGGCTAGAAGGAACTTTGCAGGGATACCACAGGTGTTGCATTCTCAAACAGTTGCATCCCAAGCCATAGCAAATCACCATGTCATGTTCGTCTTTGTCAACAGCTTCCAGAAATTGCAGCCAACTACCTGGACGCCCATCCATACCAAACCCCCTATCACACATAGAGCACCAACGCCGCCGGTCTGCGCTCCACCACGTTGTCCAACGGCCACCACGGACTGGAGGTTCCGAACCTCGGAACCTCGGAACCCGTCCGTGGTTCTAGCGTTGTGAAGTCGAAGCGCACAAAAACCGGTTCACGAGGAACAAATGGTTTGGTTCGTGAAAAAAGGTTTCCCCTGCCCTAATCGGTGTTCGCCTCTTTCTTATGCCTCTTTGATTGGCAACAAAAACCAGCATCCTGTCTGCTCTAGAATGAAGGGGGATTTCAAAAGGAACCCTTTTTGTTCATGCAGATAGCCCTTGCTACCGGTCTAATACAATTGATAACCTTGTGCCTAGGCAACCTGTTGATAACACAAGGGTATCATGAAGCAACCTTGAAGGAACATCGCTGTATATTCATACTCCGCTGAGTCTCCAGGGCACTCTGGGGGGCACTCTGAGCGACAGCAGTTGCCGCAGTCGGTGAGTCGGTCTTCTATCCCCAACGACATGTGTACATGTGATTCCACTGCATGGCAGCATGGCAATTGCTCTGGAAGTGGCAAGCACTGCTCTGTTTGTCGCCAACATGTTTTGCTGATACTGATGAGATTATACTATGCAGAAGACGTTTTTCGTGTCACTCACAGGGCGATTTTTTTTGAGAAACCGCATGAGACTGGTCTCCGCTCTGATGAGACCGATCTCCACTCCTCAAATAGAGAGGGACTGGCAGAGAATGTTGAGAGACCCCCCCTGCTGTTGGTTCAGAAAAGGTGCGGCTCAAGGAACGAGGGTGGCTGGACCTCTCATTCCCTACGAGTCGCACCAGTCAGTTTGTTTCGACATTGTTTCGACTATCCAGTGGTAAGTCTTTGGAGACACGTATACCACTTCCAAGAAGGAGACACATTTTCCTGCTGGCCAAGCCTCGCAATTCCCCGCCATAGAAGAGTTTTCCGTGTCGCACATTCTCCGTCTCGCCGTCTCGCGCGAGAAGGAGTCCCCTGACCGCTCAGCCGGGTTTCCGGCGCCATGCCGTTTGGTACCGCTCTGATGGACTTGTTAACGAAGCAACCAAGTTCTTGGGCCCCCAAGTTCAGGCTCCGTTTTCTGAGTTCTACTCTCAATCCAGAAGAACACACTTTCCGACCTCACACACACATTGTTTGGGGGTCTCTTGCCGGGATATTTAAAGAAGTCTTAGGACCAGTCCTCGCTGTCCATCTCCTCCTTCTGCCAGGCGATGCACGCCATGCACCCCGAGGTCGAGCGACAGGCGGACTGGACCAAAAAACACCGCGATTGGAAGTGAGGAGGTGGTGCAGTGCCAAAAAATGCAACTTGAGAAGATGGGACTTGAAAAGAGCTGCACGAAGACGCTGTGCCTTTGCCAGGGGGGGCCATTGCGAACCTTGGTTTGGGATCCCTGTTCAGGGAGTTCGTGGGAGGGAGGGCGAACGCGAGAGGTTCGCTCACTGCGAGTGGTTCGCACATAGCCCGGTAGGGTTTCATGGTACAACTGTTCCATCCCTGAATTCATGTATACTATAGGGGGTGTGCCAAGAAACCTGAAAGAGTCGGAAAAAATGATCACTCTTTTGGAGAAAGGCCTGCAACTGAACCATCATCATCCACTGGGCCCAGGGATTCGGATATACCCAACATATATAATATATAATATTACATATACACATTTATATTATATAATATAGTATTAATACATATGTACATACTGTCCAACTCACTCACATGGAAGGTGGATGCATTCGTCCGATTTTGGGACGA